AATTCTCGAAACGATAGGTTTTATAGTTCAAAACAATTTGTACATCGGCGGGACTAAATAGTCCATATTACAACCACAAGGATGACGGAGGAGCACAACTGTGTCCTAGAAACAAAAGCCTAAATCAGATAAGTTCATAATTCCCAGCTAAAACAAAGTTTAGAGTCCAGGGTCATGTTCCTATCTGGTCATGTTCCTATCTGATCAAAACAACAAAAAACTTAGATCACTGGCCACGCCCTAATCTACGCCAACTACTACACTGAAAAGCCCAAAATAGGAACACTGCTAACAAAAGAAAGAAACAAGCAGCACTAACACTAACTAATGACCAAAAACCAAAACAGGCCAAGAAATGAAACTACAGCAAAGGGGAAACTACAACACTAATGGAACTCCATCATGCAGAATTCTAAGTAGTCACTTCACCGTGTCAAATTCTAGCCATTCTTCAAGAGCAATATTAACCACAACCCTCTCTGGCCTCCGCAAGCTTTGAAACACCCACAGGTTCCGAGCTTTCCAAATCCATCAAAGTATATATGTGGTTAGCTGGATCTTGTCCTCATTGATAGCAGAATGGGGAATAGCACATAAGGATGACCACCAGTGGGAGAAATTCTCTGTGTTATGCTTTATCCCATCCCAGTTGAGTGGTGCCAGGCTCCAAATCATTACAGATTTGGGACAAGAAAAGAAAAGATGGTGGATAGTCTCAGCTTCTTCACCACATACTCTGCACCTAGTCTCAATTTGCACTCCTCTTTTGCAAGATTAACACTAACAGGTTGGGCATTATTTAAGCACATCCAGATAAAGTGCTTAATCTTCCCTTTGATTTTCAGTTTCCATAGCCTCTTCCTCATGCCCTGAATCTCTTTCTGCGCTTTACTTGGTTCAACAATGTCCAAGTGCTTCCATTTTTCCCTCACTAAGTAATCATATGATGCTGCATCGAGTGTTTACCATTTTTGCCACACTGCCATACGATTTATCCTCCTCCCCTGGGATGATGATTTTGATTTTTAGAATTGCAGCTTGTTCTTGCTCAGTGAATAGCTCATGTAGAATATGTCTCTTCCAATTTCTCCTAGTCACATCAACGAGTTCACTGACCATTCTGATATCTGAATTGATTGGAGGTCTGCTCATGGGTTTGAATCCAGGTAGCTCAGGGATCCAAGGATGATCATAGATTTAGATTTTAGTCCCTCTCCTGGCCTCATACCCCAGATGGATGTGTCTCTCACTTTAAGCCAGCTATGCCATAGCCAAAATCCAGTCTGCTTTTGATTAACAGTAAAGAAGTTGTCTCTTGGAAAATATTTGGCCTTCAAGCACCTGCTGACTAATAGGTTGGGCTGGGTGAGAATCCTCCATAGATGCTTTGTGATCAGTGCTTTGTTCATCAGCTGGATATCATGGAACCCAATTCCTCCCCTGTCCTTAGGCAAAGTCATTAGGTTCCATGCTTTCCAGTGGATTTTCTTGCCCCCTGAATTACCTGTGTTTCACCAAAATGCTGCAAATAGTCTAGCAATATTCTCACATACAACTTTAGAAATAAGAAAACAAGACATGGAGTACACAGACAGGTCATTAAGAACAACCTTAAGAAGAACCTCGCTGCCAGCTGCAGAGAGGAATTTATTTTTCCAATTCATAATCTTCTTCTCCACAACATCAGATAAGTAAGAGAAAGTGTCTATTTTGCTACTGCCAATCCCAAGAGGCAGCCCCAAATATTTGGAGGAATTATGGGGAGTAATCCCCAGCAGGATGTTGCAAATAGAGGATTTCAGTAAAGGAGAGGAGTTTTTGCTGAAAAAGATGGATGATTTAGATAGGTTCACTTTTTTCCCAGTCATTTTTTGGTAATCCTCCAGAATAGCTAGGATAGTATAGGCTTGGGAGGGCTCAGCTTTGGTTAGTAATAGTGTGTCATTAGCAAAAAATAAATGGGAGAGTTTGGGGCCATTTTTGGAAAGTTGAATACCAAAGAGGTTACCTTTCAGAGTTTCCACTTTTATCAGGTGTGAGAGGATTTCAGAAACCAATATGAAGACATAAGGGGACAGTGGGTCCCATTGTCTTATACCCCTTGAAGGGATGACATAGCCACACACCTCACCATTTAAATTGAAGGAAAATGAAGCAGTTGAAATGCAAGACACAACCCAGTTCACAAACATAGAGCAAAAACCCAGTTTCAGCATGATTTGACTAACATTCTTCCACTCAATTCTATCAAATGCCTTCTCCATGTCTAGTTTAAGAGTCATATAAGAGTGTTGGCTTGATCTATGCCTGTTTAACAAGTGAATAGTTTTATGAACAAGAATTACATTATCCATGATTTGTCTATTAGACACAAATGCAGCCTGGTTGTCACTAATACAGAGAGGAAGACAAGGTTTAAGCCTTAGAGCTATAATTTTGGAAATGACTTTATAGATCACACTACACAAACTGATTGGTCTATAGTGGGAGACCAGCTCAGGGTTAAGGATTTTTGGAATGAGGGTAATCAATGTATGGTTTATGCTTTTGAGAATTCTACCAGAATCAAAGAAGCTTTTAACCACAGTGCATAACTCAGGGCAAATAAGATACCAGAACTTTTGTAAAAACAAGGAAGTCATACCATCAATGCCTGGGGATTTTCTAGGGTTGATGCTGAAAAGGGCTACTTTGATTTCATCCTCCTCAACAGGTGCAATGAGATCAGAGTTTTGGTCTTGGGAAATCACTGGATCAATATCTTGCAGCAGTCTCTCCCCTTCCTCCGAGCCATCAGATTTGAATAATTTTTCATAAAATTGCTCAATGCATCTCTACATTTTCTCTTTAGTGTCATAGACCACCCCATTTTCATTTGATAACTTGGTAATACTGTTTGTCTTTCTTCTTTGCAGGGTCTTAGCATGAAAGTATTTGGAGTTCTTATCTCCATTCTTAAGCCAAGTAAGTCTGGCTTTCTGCTCACCATGTTGTTCCTCCTGTTTATATGCTTCATCAAGCTCTTTTTTCATCTCATCCCATTTCCTCCAATCAATTAGCTAGCCTTCTCTTCTCAACTCTGAAAGTTCATGATTCAGTCTGATAATCTTTCTTGCATTCTCTGTTCTGAAACTGCTGCTCCATTTCAAAATTTAAACTCTAGTTTCTTTAATTCTCTGTTGGAATTGATACATGGGACTGGGAGTCCCCTCTTGCATTTTTTTTCCTCCCTTTTTCCACAGTTTCAGCCAAACCAATCCTTTGAAGCCATCTCCTGTAAAAAAATGAACCTCTTTTTCCTATACAAGAGTTTCTGAGAGCAATCTAGCATCAATAGGTTGTGGTCAGAGGCACTTTTGAAGATATTATGAACTACTGCATTAGGATAAGTTGTTTTCCAGGAGAGAGAACCAAACAACCTGTCCAGTTTCTCTTAAACAAACCCCTTTGCCTCTCTATTGTTCCCCCAGGTGTAGGGATGACCTACCATATTGATTTCAAGCATTCCCATCCTACTAATAAAGTCTCTGAATTGAGAAAATGAGCTGGGGGACCTCTTCCTACCTCCTTTCTTCTTCTCAGCCATTAAAAGATCATTCATGTCCCCTCCTAGAAACCAGTGTTGCCCCCATTTCTGCTTGGCCTCTTCAAGGTAAGCCCATTGGGCTAATATGCTCTGGTTGTCAGTGCTTGCATAGATGAATATTCCCCAGCAGATGTAAGACTGCTTCTCATCCCAAAATTCGACTTTCATACAGAAGAGATGCTTTACTATGTTGAATATCTAGATATCAGAATCCCAACAGAGAAATAATTCCCCACTCTTGCCCACATGCTCAACGGAGGACCAACAATCACCAACAGCTAAATTATTACAAACAACAAGAAGGAATTTGTATTTTTTTTCTTGGTTTCTGAAAGAAAAAGAAAATCTGGGTGATGGAGCCTTCAAGTCTTCTTGATTTGGGAAACTGTAGAGGGGCCACCCGCACCTCTATAGTTCCACACTGCTACCTTCATTGATCACTGTGTGGCCCTAGAAGGCTGGCCACATTCACCTGTTCTTGGATTGATTTCAATTTTTTGCTCTGGATGGTGGGTTGAGAATCTTGAAGGTCAACTGGGTTATCTGCTAAAGAAATATCTTGAATGTTCCTTTTCCCTCTAGTAGACTTAGGATTAGGGAGATTAGGGATGGCTGGAATCTGCTCTCTTCTCCACCCCCTTGGTTTCTGAAGAGGAGGAACAGGGGTTGATTGGCTTATAGTAACTGTGTTTGGCTGGCTTGGGTCAGTGAAGGGAGGTGGATATTGAAGGTTGGCTTCTTTGAGTTGAGAGATTTCAGTTTCCATTGGTTGGTTGAGAGGTTGGGACTCTGGGTTTGGGAGGGCCAATATCGATGGCTGTTGGCTGACAATTGGAATAGATGGGGATACTTGGTGTAAGTTGGTTGGTGTTTGAATTTCTGGCTAAATGTTGGAGTGTTTTGAGTTGGACTGGATATTATGCTTCATTGAGTCAACAAGAGATTTAGTAAGGTTGTTACTACCTGAATGGGGATCAGCTGAAGTGGTGTTATGGATCATATAGGTAGAGAAGAAATGTTCAGAAGCTTTCGACCAATCTCCATACTTCCCTTCTTGGAGCTTGCTATGA